ACATCTCTCCACAGTGTTATAAGCCCGTAAAGTATCACAACACCGCAACAAACATTCAGCCACAAACTTCCGAAAGTTTTAGTCATCAAACACAAACCGACTTACTCACTTGTCAACAAAACAGCATTCAAGATTGACAGAATTAAATAATCCCAGCTTCTGAAATAAATAAATAAATAAATCTTACTTAAATTTAAAATACAAATTCAGCATCAAAGAATTTCCATCACGGCGTCGTTATTTGATCTCGCCAAAAAATACAAAAATAAATATAACAATTAAATGACTTGTTTGTGACGAATATCCGCATCTTGGAGCCCCCCCCACCACCCACCCCCTACCCCACCCCCAACCCCCACCCCACACTCAAGGACGACAAAACAACATAGAACAAAAGATAATCACCTCAAGCCAAGTCACAAAGAGCGAGATTGTGTTGACTGAACGTATGAAAACACCTTTATGGTAAAAAAATAAAAATTGTCGCGTTTTAAAAATAATCGTATTTCTGAGCTAATTGGTAGTAAAACAAATTATTCCTACGATTTCAATATTTCTCTCTCATAATAACTCATAATTACCTTCTCTAGATGTTGTTAATTGCTCACTATGAGATATTTAATGAGGTATTGTTTGTTTATATGAAGATTCTTGGCCGCTAAATGTAAGCAAGTGACATCGAGTTGCTAAAGTGAGCGATTATCTCCGGAATAGGACGATTGGGCGCGGTCGTTTGGTCGCCAGCTGATTTCGCCAGGTTCACCGTGTCTCTGGGGTCCTAGGTGAGGCCAAATTCCCCTGGTTGTGACAGGTAAGGTACACAGCCTCCTCCCCTCCCCACCTCCCACCCTCACCACCCCACACCCCACCACCCCACACCCTCACCACCCCACCTCTCACCCACCCCACACCCCTCACCAGTACATCAACACAAAAACAAAAGACCTAAAACTCTGTATAAAACGACCAAAAACTCCTGATTACTAAATACGTCTGAGATCTGGCAGTGACGCATCCGTACAACAAATCCGGTTAAAATCATGAATATTTATCCGAGTTATCGCGTGGACAATTCTCAGAAAACGGACGCACGGACGGGGGACGGACCGGGGGAGAACGGACGAGGACAATTAGACTCAGAGGAAACACAATATGCTGAATTAAAATACATCTCGGCAATCAGCCATGAATCTAGGTTTGAGAGAGTGTGTGACCTCCTCTTGACCTCCCTTTGTTATTGGGTCATCCTCGAGAGAATACCACGCTATATTGGGGTTGGTTGAATATTTTATCATCACACACACACACACACAGGGCGTCATGTGATCACAGCACACAGTATTTTCTAACAACGATTCTCTCTCTCTCCTCTCTCTCTCTCTCTCTCTCTCTCTCTCTCTCTTCCAACATTACACACACACATGCATGCAATAAAAGCAACGAGTGTCGTATAGCAATTTTATTAACAAGGAAGAAATGACTAGAGTGTCGTCGTCGTGTCGCGTCGTGGCGTGTCGTGTCGTGTCGTGTCGTGTCGTGGCGTGGCGTGTGTGTCGTGGCGTGTCGTGTCGTGGCGTGGCGTGTCGTGTCGTGGCGTGGCGTGTCGTGTCGTGTCGTGTCGTGTCGTGTTTGTTGTTAGGTAGTTTATGTTAGAATCATATTAGATTAAGGTGGATAATCTTCAGGTGACCCTTTAATACAAAATACCTCTAATTAAGTCACCTGAGATAATTAAGGCGGAATGTTTGTTTATGTTCGTAGTTCTCCCCATGGACGTGTGGCGGCGCTGTCGTTATCGCTGATTGGCTGAGTGAGGAATGACGTCGTTGCACAAACAGATTAAATACACTGGTAGGTTGACACAGGGGTATTCTAGATCGTGTGTGTGTGTGTGTGTGTGTGTGTGTGTGTGTGTGTGTGTGTGTGTGTGTGGCTATGTTCTGCACCACCAGTCAAGGGTGGGGGCAACGTCAGACATTACTACACATCATTTAGCGTCCGTTTAGCGTCCGTTAATGCCAATATCAGAGCCAGGCAGCGTCACATGATTTAATATCCGTATCAGAGCCAGGCAGCGTCCGTTAATGTCCGTATTAGGCCAGGCGCGTCCGTCGTTAATGTCCGTATTAGGCCAGGCAGCGTTAATGTCCGTATTAGGCCGGGCAGCGTCCGTCGTTAATGTCGTATCAAAGCCAGACAGCGTCCGTTAATGTCCGTATAAGAGCCAGACAGCGTCCAGAATGTCCGTATTAGAGCCAGGCAGCGTCCGTTAATGTCCGTATTAGAGCCAGACAGCGTCTGTTAATGGCCGTATTAGAGCCAGGCAGCGTCCGTTAATGTCCGTATTAGAGCCAGGCAGCGTCCGTTAATGTCTGTATTAGGAGCCAGACATCCGTTAATGTCCGTATCAGAGCCAGACAGCGTCCGTTAATGTCCGTATTAGAGCCAGGCAGCGTCCGTTAATGTCCGTATCAGAGCCAGACAGCGTCTGTTAATGTCCGTATCAGAGCCAGGCAGCGTCCGTTAATGTCCGTATTAGAGCCAGGCAGCGTCCGTTAATGTCCGTATCAGAGCCAGACAGCGTCCGTTAATGTCCGTATTAGAGCCAGGCAGCGTCCGTTAATGTCCGTATCAGAGCGCGCAGCGTCCGTTAATGTCCGTATCAGAGCCAGGCAGCGTCCGTTAATGTCCGTATCAGAGCCAGACAGCGTCCATGTCCGTATTAGAGCCAGACAGCGTCTGTTAATGTCCGTATCAGAGCCAGACAGCGTCCGTTAATGTCCGTATGAGCCAGACAGCGTCCGTTAATGTCCGTATTAGAGCTAGACAGCGTCCGTTAATGTCCGTATCAGAGCCAGGCAGCGTCCGTTAATGTCCGTATCAGAGCCAGACAGCGTCCGTTAATGTCCGTATTAGAGCCAGACAGCGTCTGTTAATGTCCATCAGAGCCAGCAGCGTCCGTTAATGTCCGTATTAGAGCCAGACAGCGTCCGTAATGTCCGTATTAGAGCTAGACAGCGTCCGTTAATGTCCGTATCAGAGCCAGGCAGCGTCCGTTAATGTCCGTATCAGAGCCAGACAGCGTCCGTTAATGTCCGTATTAGAGCCAGACAGCGTCTGTTAATGTCCGTATAGAGCCAACAGCGTCCGTTAATGTCCGTATTAGAGCCAGACAGCGTCCGTTAATGTCCGTATTAGAGCTGAGACGTCCGTTAATGTCGTAAAGCCAGGCAGCGTCCGTTAATGTCCGTATCAGAGCCAGACAGCGTCCGTTAATGTCCGTATTAGAGCCAGACAGCGTCTGTTAAACTGTATCAGAGCCAGACAGCGTCCGTTAATGTCCGTATTAGAGCCAGACAGCGTCCGTTAATGTCCGTATTAGAGCTAGACAGCGTCCGTATCAGCATCGATTTGTGTTATTGAAGAGACGTTCTACCTCTAACAAAAAGGTCGATAATCACGTGAGAGAAATTCCTGATTGGTGAGAGGAGATTCCCGTCTCATTCCCAGATGAGGAATCCTGCCTGTCTGTGCTAAGAGACGGGAATGTTACTGCTTACTCCTAAAGTCTGTCTGTTTGATGTGTGTGTGTGTGTGTGTGTGTTGTCTTGTGTGTCTGTGTGTGACAACAAAGGAGGATTTTATTGGTATTTGCTAATTAACACACACACACACACACACACACACACACACACAACAAGTATACTTATTATTATTATTATTATATTATGCCAACAATACTGCCAACACAACACCTGCCAACACAACACCTACCAACACAACACCTGCCAACACAACAGTTGCCAACAGTACTGCCAACACAACATCTGCCAACACAGTACTGCTAACACAACACCTGCCAACAGTACTGCCAACACTACACCTGCCAACACAACACCTGCCACAACACCTGCCAACACAACACCTGCCAACAGTACTGCTAACACTACACTGCCACAACACTGCCAACAGTACTGCCAACACTACACCTGTCTGCCGGCACCAATACCCAATCAATAACACAGGTAAAAAATCAAACATTAGGCGTTTATGTACCTGAAAACACCTTTGTAATTAGTAGACAGGGATGGGGAGGAGGGGGGCAGGTGACCTCTAGGGGGTGTGGAGGGAAGGTCAAAAGGCAATAACTAGAGGTCATAATTGGTGTGGTTAGGGTAACTATAATAAGCCTTTGAGTACGATATTTTAACCCTTTGAGTACAGTACTGAAACAAACAAATAAAGCAAATTTTCCCCCTTTCTGATTAATTAAAGAAGAAAGAAAAGAAAGAAAGGCCTTTGATTTCATTTCTTTCGTTTGTGAAGTCAGTCCAGCAGGAAGGTTTGGCCAGGTAACACAGTCATTACATTCCTCAGGTGGGAAAAATATACCTGGTCACTGATCTATCTGTCTGTCTGTCTGTCTGTCTGCCTGTCTGTCTGTCTCTCCTGGCATGTTTATGGAATGGCGAGAAATGTGTGTGTGTGTGTGTGTGTGTGTGTGTGTGTGTGTTTTACAGCCTTAAGAGTCTCTATAAAAGGGACTAACTCTAGACGACAGGAGAGAGAGAGAGAGAGAGAGAGAGAGAGAGAGAGAGAGAGAGAGAGACAGAGAGGAAGCAATTACACCTCCCCCTCTTCTCCCTCCCCTCCCCCTTCATAATATCTTATGATCAACTCCCTGACAGGATATCCAACCTCTCCTATGAAGATGGTAGGATGTGGCCTTGATCCTGACAGGGGTCCTTTGCTCAGGTAGACGCCCGCCCCTCAAAGTGGATCTAAGGGGTGAGGGGGAGGGAGGGGTGAGGGGAGGGAGGGGGGGTGAGGTGAGGGAGGTGAGGAGGGGAGAGGTTTCATTAGGTCTGTCTGGCTTATCTCTATTAAACGTCATGTTAAAGGGGTAGATCTATCATGGTAGGGTAGATCTACTATGGTAGAGAGGATCCATCATGGTAATTAAAGGGTAAAAAAAAACATCATCATGGTAGCAAACTCACCTGACATGGTAGGAATATCAGTGAAGGATCCCCGACAAGGTCCTGGCGAGGTGGTGGTCCTGGAGTCCCCACCATACTCACTGCCTGCGGTACTCCCGACGGGGGTAGTGTCTCCCGACCCCATCCTTCGGGGAAGGGCGAACACTCCCCCAGGCCACGACGGGGGGAGAGAGGAGAGACTGTCGGGGGTACAGTGAATGCCACCTCTCGGGATCTGTTGAGAGAGGGAGAGGAGATAATTAACAGGTGAGAAGAGGTGTGGATTACAGGTGTGTTTTGATTAGAGAGAGAGAGAGATTCACGTAGGTAGATACATAAACACACACACACACACACACACACACTTATATCATAATCAAATCAAACCGAGGAAAACAAATTCTGTGTGTGTGTGTGTATTCAATATGTGTGTGTGTGTGTGTGTGTGTGTGTGTGTGTGTGTAGTGAGGAGAACCGCGGTGTTTTTCTTCCTCACAGTGAATGACTTAGTAGTCTGTTTATCTGTGTCTCTGTCTGTCTGTCTGTCTGTCTGTCTGTCTCTGTTGTCTGTCTCTGTTTGTTGTTGTTGTGTCTGTCTGTCTGTCTGTTTGTCCTGTTTGTCTGTCTCTGTCTGTCTCTGCCCTGTCTGTCTGTCTGTCTTTTAATATGTATATATATGTAAAAAAACAGCCGGAACAAGTGACATACACAACAAACCAGACAGACAGACAGACAAGAGGGGAACAGACAGACAGACAAACAGACAAGACACACAGATGAACAGACAGACAGACAACACACAAACACAAACAAACAAACAAAACACCACAGCACAAAAACAAGTAAAACAACAAAATAAAAACACCCAAGAAACCAAGAACTAAAACAAACAGAATTAAAACAAATAAATAAAACACAAGAGGATAAATCGATTTAAAGTCCGTGTGTGTTTGTTTGTTTTTTATGTAATACTTGTCAACACAGGTTAGGCCGTGTGGGTTTACGTTCATGTCTGTCTGTCTGTCTGTCTGTCTGTCTGTCTGCGCTGTCTGTCTGTCTGGGTGTCTGTCTGTCGGGTCTGTCTGTCTGGGTGTCTGTCTGTCTGTCTGTCTGTCTGTTCTGTCTGTCTGGGTGTCTGTCTGTCTGGGTGTCTGTCTGTCTGTCTGTCTGGTGTCTGTCTGTCTGGGTGTCTGTCTGTCTGGGTGTCTGTCTGTCTGTCTGGGTGTCTGTCTGTCTGTCTGTCTATGTCAAATGTACGTACATACATACATACATACATACATACATACATACATACATACATACAATATCAGAGGAGGAAGATTTGACCTCTGGCACTACAAGGTCAAGGTCAAAAAGGCCCGGATGACCTCAGTGAAGTATTGATCTCTCTCTCTCTCTCTCACACGTTCATTAAAACAATTCACTAATTATAATAACACAAACATGAACGGTACCCCAGGGAATACAGTCATACAGTCATACAGTCATACAGTCATACAGTCATACAGTCATACAGTCATACAGTCATCTGGGAAAGGAGAAGAGAGAGAGGTGCGTATGAACGTATGAATCTAGGTGAGCAATACATACACACAGGTGACACACACACACACACACACACACACACACACACACACACACACACACACACACACACACACACACGTTGTCAGTACACCTTTAAATCACATCACCCTTTCCTCCCCTTCCTTGTCTCACCTTATCCCCTTCCCTCCCCTTCCCCCCTTTGAGTGTATCCGTTTGTATGTCTGTTTCTTTCTTGATCTACCACCACTACCACCACACAACCACTATCACCACCACCACTACCACCACCACCACTATCACCACCACCCACTACCACCACCACAACCACTATCACCACCACCACTACCACCACAATCCACTACCTACCCCTACCACCACAACCACTATCACCACTACCATTACCAACTACCACCATCACTACTACCACCACACTAGGGGATACCTATTAGCCAAATTACCTTATAGACTAGTTCACCTGTAGAGGGATATAGTGTTTTGCTTGCTTACCTGAGGTGTAATGGAGGAGGGAGGGAGGGGAAGGAGGGAGGAGGGAGGGGAGGAGGTAGGAAGAAGGAGGAGAGGGAGGAGGGAGGATGGCAGTGGATTATAATATGCACAATAACCCACACGATGCTAGTATAATGATCATACACATACATACATACACATACATACATACATACATACATACATACATACATACATACATACATACATACATACATACATACATGGCTTCATCGTATAGAATAACCCTTTCCATCTTCCTCCCCTTATTCTTCCTCCTCATCCTCTTCTCATTCTTCTTCTCTCCTCTCCTCCTCCTCTTCCTATTCTTCCTCTCTCTCCTCTTCCTCCTCTCCCTCTTCCCTATACATGTCTTGGTTTTCAGAGTAATAATGAGAAAAATGTGCAGTGTCCTCCCTCACCCCTCCCCTTCCTGTCCTCTCCCTCTCTCCAACCTCCCACTCCTCCCTCTCCTCTCCCTCTCTCCTACCTTTCACTCCTCCTCTCTCACCATGTCTTCGTTTACACATTAATAGAGGAGGGAGCAATTTCAGGACGTCTCTCTCTCTCTCTCTCTCTCTCTCTCTCTCTCTCTCTCCAATAAACAAACTGACAGAAACGTCTACACTGGAAAAGTTGAGCAAACAAATCTACCTTTACCATATCTGTCAGTCTGTCTATACGTATATATTTCTGTCTATATTCATGTCTGTCTGTCTATGTATCTCTGTGTTTCTGTCTGTCTGTCTTTCTGTGTCTGTCTGCTCCACACACAGACACTGACCCACGCCCTTAGCTGTAGATCAAACAACGACCACTACCATCTGTCTGTCTGTCTGTCTGTGACGTTTGCCTTTGGGTCAACAGTGGCTAAGGTGATGGAACGGATGGCAGATGGCAGGTGGCAGATGGGTGGCAGATGGCAGTGGCAGATGGCAGTGGCAGATCAAAGGGGTACCTGTCCCAATAAGCATCAACCTAGCTATTATTTCTGGGGCCCATTAGGACAGGGGCCTAATAAGACTTGGGCCCCATGTAGTAGTAGTAGTAGTAGTGATGATGATGGTGGTGATAGTGATAGTGGTGGTGATAGTAGTGGTGGTGGTGGTGGTAGTGGTGGAACAGACTCACCTGCCTGGAGTGTAAAATGACATAGGTGATTCTTATTATATTATCCCTCCTTCCCTTCCTCCCTCCCTTATCTTGCTTCCCCCCCCCCCCCCCTCTCTCTCTCTCTCTCTCTCTCTCTCTCTCCAACAATGGCTGCCTGGTTCACTGGATGCTCAGATCTATATAAGTTTTCTACGTTATTATTATTAAAATTAGTATTTTATTACTATTATTATTATTTTAACTACTTAGGATTAAATTATTGTGTCTCATCCTTGTCTCTCTGTCTCTCTGTCTGTCTGTCTGTCTGTCTGTCTGTCTGTTTAATCCATGGATCTATATCTCAATTTTCGTAATAACACACTTTAGCTTTAATCAGGATAGGTTAGGTTAACTTAGGTCAGGTTAGATTAGATTCAGTTAGATTAAAATAATTAAACAGTGTAAACAAATTCACCCATACATTTTTTATAATATTTCGAAAATTAATTCTCAAGTTTCCTTAAAAAAATAAAAAAATATAAACTTTTTCATTTTAATATCATTCATAAAACTAATGTGTCAAGCAGGCCGATGTTATGATATAGCCCCCCTGACTCTCATGGGTGGAGTGTGAGAGTAGGGGAGGTGAGGGGAGAGGAGGAAGGGGGTGAGGATAGCTACCAAGTCAACAATTTTATTTATTTTACACACACACACACACACACACACACACACACACACACACACACACACAGTCAGCCACTCAGGATCTCACAGCTTATGTTGGAGGGAGGGAGGAGGAAGGAGGAGGGAAGAAGGAAGGAGGAGGAGGGTGGCTAAGAGGAGGAATCCCATCCCTCCTCTCTTCCATTCCTCTTCCTCCTACCTCCTGCTCCTCGGACCCTTCCTCTCCCATCTTCCCTTCCTCCTTCACCTCTTCTCAACCCCTCTTCCTTCCCTCTTTCATTATTCCTTCTCCTTCTTCACATACTTTAGCTCTTCCCCTTCCTTCCTTCCTTCTTCTTTTCTCCTCCTCCTATCATCCTCTTTCCTCCTTTTCCTTCTTCTATGCCACCTTCTAACTTTCCTTTCCTTCTCTCCTCTCCCCTACCCCCTACCTCCCCTACCTCCCCTCCCAAGATAATCACTCTCACAATAAAACTCTCAAGAGAGACTGACAGAGAGAACAGAGATCTCTCCGTCTCTAATGTTTACTTTGAGATATTTATGTTGAGAAATGTGTTTAGGAAGGAAGAGAGATTAGAAGGGTGGTGGTGAGGAGTGGAAGGGTATAGTGAGGGAGGTAGGTAAGGGGTGAGGAGAGGTGTGAGGGAGAGGGGAGGTAGGTTTTAATACATGTTCATGGTCTTGAGCTTGACGTCTGTCTTACGGCGTCCTAACCCTCGGAAGATGAGAGAGTGTGTGTGTGTGTGTGTGTGTGTGTGGTTGGGTTATAAAACAGCCCGGGGGGAGTTGACACAGCCAGTGACTAAGTAAACACAGCTAGAATAACCTGAGCTTGAAGAGAACTTTAAGCTGTATTTTTCAGCTTAGTGATAACAGTAGTAGAGTGTGGACGTGAGCTGATGGTAGTATGTCAAGTGGGCCCCAGACCCAACAGGCCCCAACCTAACCTAACCCAACCAAAACCTAACCCAACCCAACCATACCCAACCCAACCAAACCAATCCAAACCCAACCTGTACCCAACCTAACCTAACCCTAACCAAACCAACCTGTACCCAACCTAACCTAACCAAACTAGCTAATATGGCCGGATGTCTTGATAACCAGTGGACGTGTCACAAACATGTTATGACCGGCCTGACTCGATGCTTCACACTCAGACGTAAACACTATTGCAGCAAAGATGTTGTTTATGTTACCTGGGAGTAACCCCCCATCCCTACCTCACCCCACTCCACCCCACCCGCACCCCACTCAACCTCACCCACTCCACCCCACCCGCACCCCACTCAACCTCACCCCACTCAATACAACTCCACTACATACATACATACATACATACATACATACATAGATACATACATACACTTATTAATCATTATATATATTTAATTATAC